TTTATTGCAAAATCAAAATGGTAGACGTTTGTCCCTATAAAGTCAGGGCCTCGGCTTCGCCTCGTGAAATATCGACCGGTCTCAGATTCCGAAAACATAATTTTTCCTTCGGTCGACGTTGAATAAGTGTTAATTAATTACTCATTCGATGGCAAATACAATTCGGGATTAGCCTAGCGATGCCGGGTGAGTCGGATTTGGCAAATTTACGAGCAAGACGCATCATGCATATTAGCATAATAAAACGGAAAAAATATTTGAAGCGCCTCGTCGAAATCTTTTAGCATTCGTGCCCAGCAACCCAAAGGTTTCGGCACGTATCTTTCGCGGATTGCAGATTTTTGATGTACACCATCAATAACACAAATTTGCATCATAGCTTTTTCACGATATTAAGGAAAATGGATATATAGATGTGGAAGCTTTAACAATATAAAAACAGTGTACTTTAATATCACAATTGCTAATAGTTTGAAAAGCTCTAAATCTCAATAGCTTCTTGTTTTTAATGCAAGCGTTTGTCAAAATACAGCCTTGCTTGACTTCCTGATTTTATCCATTATTTTGTACTTTTGGCTTTCTTTTCTTTCTTAGTTCCTCTAGCTCTAGGAATGTTTAGTTTGTTTGCGAAATAACTTTCCGCGATTTTTTTTGTCATGTAATAATTAATCTGATTATCTCAACCTCGTGAACCATTTTGTGTGAAACGGGATGCGCTTAATGGCCATCCAGGGCAGACACGGAGGTCAGAGTCGCCCGTACTCGTCAAGTGACCCAGGCCTTAAAAATTAATACCGCACTGTCCCACATGCATGTACAAAAAGTAAATACGACCATTTTAATTCACCAAGTTCAAGAACAAAAGAAAAAAAAGTTGTGATTTTGACGAAAAGGATATGTTCAAGTCGAAATAAGACTTATTTTTCACGAATCTCGTCTTTCGTAATTAATTTTGATAATAGTTGTCTTATCTCTGTAGAAAAGTTTTGTATTTCGACTGTATCAATGTTGATCAACGAAAGGATCTCTGAACGCTTCAGTACCGGTGCCAGCTTTATCCATACCCTACCAAATATCGCGTGTAGTGTAAACGGTCTTTAGGAAAGTTATTGCTGGCGAGCGAAGCGAGCCAGCTCCCTATTCTTGACAACAGCCTGTGGAAGCACATACGGCCGCGCGAGTTTGGGGTTTGGGCACGTATATTGAGTCGATGGCTCGACTTTTGTCATTCGGTAGAAATCACAGGCGAAATCACAGGCGAAATAACAGGCGAAATCACAGGCGAAATCACAGGCGAAATCACAGGCGAAATCACAGGCGAAATCACAGGCGAAATCACAGGCGAAATCACAGGCGAAATCACAGGCGAATCACAGGCGAAATCACAAGCGAAATCACAGGCGAAATCACAGGCAAAATCACAGGCGAAATCACAGGCGAAATCACAGGCGAAATCACAGGCGAAATCACAGGCGAAATCACAGGCGAAATCACAGGCGAAATCACAGGCGAAATCACAGGCGAAATCACAGGCGAAATCACAGGCGAAATCACAGGCGAAATCACAAGCGAAATCACAGGCGAAATCACAGGCAAAATCACAGGCAAAATCACAGGCGAAATCACAGGCGAAATCACAGGCGAAATCACAGGCGAAATCACAGGCGAAATCACAAGCGAAATCACAGGCGAAATCACAAGCGAAATCACAGGCGAAATCACAGGCGAAATCACAGGCCAAATCACAGGCGAAATCACAGGCGAAATCACAGGCGAAATCACAGGCGAAATCACAGGCGAAATCACAGGCGAAATCACAGGCGAAATCACAGGCGAAATCACAAGCGAAATCACAGGCGAAATCACAGGCAAAATCACAGGCAAAATCACAGGCGAAATCACAGGCGAAATCACAGGCGAAATCACAGGCCAAATCACAGGCCAAATCGTGTCGCAAAAGATGGCTGATTTTGAGCTTTGCTGACACCTCTCATTCGGCTGTTAATTTATAGCATCCAAATAAGCCGGGTTTTATAACAATTTCAGTTTTTTGCTTTTGGATTCGAATATAAACTGATTACCAAAGGTTCTGAGCCATATAAATCCATCAAAACGTATGGTACAAACATCAAAATTAATATACTATTTTAGACCTTTGGTAAATGTGCAATGTTATATACTGAAACAGTCAAACTTTATCGTTTTTCTTTACTTGTGCGGGGAAGGAATTAAATTCCTGGCAATGTCAATCTTTGAGTTTGGTCTATTTTGTTTGTATGATAGCAAACAATAATGTAAATAGGTAAACCTTCCCCCCAATGAGTCTACTAGATTCAAGCATTAACATGATCTGACTGACAAAAGTGCTGAGCGAGTGCTGATACAAAGTAATAAGATTTTTGCTGCAAACAGTGTAAATTTGAACCTCTGATGATGGTGACTGTTAAAACCTAGTTAATATATTATCCTATTTGCTATTTATTATCTTGTCAAATTCAAATGAATTTATCAATTATCATGGCTTATAATTAATTGATTTTTTAACTTCCTGCACCTTGTGAATAAATCTTGATCAGATCTCCATTTATATTTTTCAGGATGAAGATGCTATGATATAAAGCAAGCTAGAGCTTATCAATTGTCATGCAATTTGCTGGAACATTGAACTGAGATGTATTAAACACATTATACACATTGTTATGAATCTGCATTGTTATCCTTAATATGTTGTTAGCTGGTATTTTTATAACCATTGTTATATTTATAAAAGAAATTAATATACACATGCATTGATTGAGCAGTGTATCTTCAATCTGCAGCCACTTTTATAATTTTCTGTTTATGGTATCAAACTCAAGAGGACTAAACTCATTAGGCTAATCAGGAGTAATTGAGTCTATGGAGAAATGAATATTATTCATTAAAAAGACCAGGGGTCCAGGGCTGCAATTAGATAATATTGAAAACTTTTATAGCCCATTGAGGTACAATTAAGCTGATGACCTTAATGAAAAGTATGCTATGCAAATAGGACTATATATATATATATATATATATATATATATAGGACTCGCCAGCACTCCCCTTTTGAAAATAACTACTAGTTTATGTATTAATCTCCATTAACAAAAGAATGCCTCAACGCTTCGTGAGCATAAGGTCTCCTATCAATTTTATGATTGATCAGCCAGGACACAAACTTTTGAGCTTCGAGATCATCAAGTTTCTTCAAACTGACAGAGTTCCCTTCCGAAATATTTCTCATTCGATCAAAGGAAGAACCAAAAGGGTGTTCACCTTTAGTTAAGACGAAGAAAGCAATCATACCGGCGACCTGGACATCTGATTTCCTTTTGAAACGACATTTCTCATTTTTCTCAATGGCTTGAGTTACTTCCGATGGCATCCATCCAGGAGTACCTTTGGCGAATGTTTGAACTGTCGTTTGATTGTCTTTTAGGACACGACTTATTCCAAAGTCTGCCAATTTCATGCGACCATCGATATCAACCAGGACGTTTGATGGTTTTAAATCTCTGTGCAATATTCCTTTATCATGAAGAAATTCAAGTCCTGACAGAATTTCCTTAATCATTCGTGGACCATGCTCTTGTAGATGTTCAATACTGGATGCATGAACAAGTTCCCTCAAATTTTCTTCGCAAAGATCAACAATAAGATACATGAACACATCGTCATGATCACGGTGAAAATGACGATAGCTCACTATAAATGGACAGTTTTCCGTCTCAATGAGACTCATGATTTCCTTTTCGTTTTCAACTGTTTTGTCCGCACTTTGCACCACAATTCTCTTAACAGCAACTTCACTTCCATCATGCATGAGACAACATAGACACAGAAGAACACCATCGCCAATTTTGAATTGATTCTTTGCGACAAAAGCCTGCATCGGTATTTGAGTCTATTTAAGAAAGATATGGTTATTAGATGCCTCATCAGACGCAATAAAAGGCAGGGCAGGGGCAGAAATCTGAAAAAGGCACTTTAATGGTTTACTAAGGCCAACACGGAAAAAATAAGTTTGATAGCGTTATAGCGCCTGTCCTTTATTCAAACTTCAAATAGATAATGGATTTGTTATGGAATTAACGTTTTGCATTTCTGCTTTTTCATTAAACCCATATTGAAGAACAAAATTACAAATAAGACATTCAATGTCCATGAGCATATAAAGGCAAGCTGCCCCTTCTGCTCCCGTCGACGAAAAGGTTTAACATAAGTTACCCCTTTGAGCTACTATATTGAATTGTCCCTGGCTGCTACAACCCAGCAGCGAGGGAAAATACCTAAATTCAGTTTTCCGCTTGCCATTAAACACTCCCTTTAAACACACCCATTAAAATTATCTTGCAGGTAATTTTACCAAAACTGCAGCGTGATCCTGCACGAGTACACCACAAGGCAATTAGCAAGCAGCCAATTAGCAACGTTCGCTAATGTTCATGACTGTCGTTAAAATTGTGGCATTATCATGCAAACATATCCGACGCATTGTATATCTAAAGCTCATAGGGGTAACTTCTGTTACCATTTACCCTGTCTACCATTTCAGAGTTTTTACAATCCACCGATTTTGCACTAATTTGCTGATTTGCATAAAACCATGAGGAAAGTGATAAAAAATATTTACAGAATTTATGTAAATATTGTTGCGTCAAGGACTGCCTAACAGTTCATCTAGAGTATATTGGGGTAATGCCGTACCCACCTGTGAGACATTCTACCTCGCTTCATGTAGCTAATAAAAACACTTTGTTCAGTGCATTTTTTTAGTAATTGAACATTGGTCCTTGGGGATGGAGTGTTGCCGAAGGTCACCCTCTACCCCATAGACTCGCATAAATCTACATGCATTCGTGTCTAAACCTCAGTAAAGAATGACTTCATGGGGATCTATGACCCCTTTGGACATTTAAGATACTTATCTGGGGAGCTATGACCCCTCTTGGGTGAAGATCAATACTGGGGAGCAACTGCTAAACCCCTGAGGACGTGCAACATGGGGATCCACGACCCCTGAGGACGCCAGAGTCCTTGGCTAGGACTACATAATTAATTGTACCATAAACTACATGAATTAAGCTGTAGCGAGCCTATAAGGGGTAACTTTGACCTTATCTACATTATATTTGAAGCACTTCTCTCTCAAAAACCATTTCTCCCACAACTAATTGTGCGTTTGGTGTCTCGGTTGGGCCTTTAATGATTTATAACGTTGTTTCTATCCAAACTCAGTTAATTTGAAAAATTACCTTTTCTAACATGTTGCAGTTCATTCTTTTCAACATCTCAATCTTCTCACCATGTTTTAAAGACTTTTTGAGACTATTTTGAGATTCTTCGATAAGAATTGGCTTCATTTGGCTTCGTTCGACAAGAAATTTTCCAGCTCTCGGAACAACCCTGTTCTTTTGCCTGATCAGATCCACCAAAGCAACTGAATTGTTTGCAACAGCCATCCTAATGATGTCAGTGCCAAGAGTATGAGCGCTGATGTTACCTTTAGGAGTTATGTCAGCACCCTGTTCAACTAAATACTTAATAATTTCTAATGCACCAGTATCTACAGCAGCGTGTAGGACGGTCCAACCGTCAGTGTATTTACTATTTACATCAGCGCCATTTTTCACGAGGTGCTTTGTGATATCCAGGCTACCTTTAGTAACAGCAGTGTGGAGGACTGTCCACCCGTCAGTATTCTTTCCATTTACATCAGCGCCATTCTGAACGAGGTATTTTACCATATCTAGTGTACCTTTATTAACAGCACTGTGCAGGACTGTCCATTTGTCAGAATTCTTACCATTTATATCAGCGCCATTTTCAACGAGATATTTTACCACCTTTAGCGTACCTTTCGTAACGGCGCTGTGCAGCACTGTTCGTCCGTTCGTCGTCTTACCAATTACATCAGCGCCATTCTCAACCAGGTATTTTACTATATCTATCGTACTTTCAGTAACAGCGTAGTGCAACACTGTCCTACCGTAAGTATTCTTACCATTTACATCAGCGCCCTTTTCAACAAGATATTTCACCATTTCTAGCGTACCTTTAGAAACAGCGTAGTGCAGGACAGACCATCCGTCAATATACTTGCAATTTACATCAGCACCTTTTCCAATGAGATATTTTACCGTTTCGTGTGCTCCTTTAGCAACAGCACTGTGCAACACTGTCCATCCGTTACTATCCTTGCCATTTACATCAGCGCCATTTTCAACAAGGAAACTTACAATTTCTAGCGTACCTTCAGTAACAGCACTGTGAAGCACTCTCCATTTATCAGGATCCTTGCCATTTACATCAGCCCCATGTTCAACAAGATATTTTACCATATCAAGCTTACTTCCAGTAACAGCATTGTGTAGAACTGTCTTTCCGTCAATATCCGTGCTATTTACATCAGCGCCGTTTTCAGCAAGATATTTCACTATTTCTGGCTTACCTTTAGCAACAGCACTGTGCAGCACTGTCGACCCGTCAGCATTTTTGCTGTTAATGGCATTCACAGCTGCGCCTTTTTCAACAAGATATTTCACTATACCCAGCGTACCTTTACTAACAGCAGTGTGTAGAACTGTCAACCCGTCAATATCCGGTCTATTTACATCAGCGCCGTTTTCAACAAGATATTTCACTATTTCAAGCTTACCTTTAGCAACAGCACTGTGCAGCACTGTCGACCCGTTAGTATCCTTGCTATTTACATCAGCGCCATGTTCAACAAGATATTTTACCATTTCTGGGTTATTTGTAGAAAGAGCGTAGTTCAAGACTGCCCTCCCGTCAGTATCCTTGCTATTTACTCGAGCTCCCTTTTCGACAAGATATTTTACCATTTCTAGTGTACCTTTGCTAACAGCATAGTGCAATACTGTCCATCCATCAGTATACCTGCCATTTACATCCGCACCGTTTTCAACAAGATATTTTATGATTTCTAGCTTACCTTCAGTAACAGCATTGTGCAGCACTGTCCACCCATCAGTATCAATTCCATTTACATCAGCGTTATTTTCAACAAGATATTTTACCATTTCAAGCGTACCTTCACTAACTGCAAAATGCAGCACTGTGTCCCCATTGGTATCTTTACCATTTACATCAGCCCCATGTTCAACAAGGTATTTTACCACATCTAGCTTACTTTCAGTAACAGCGCTGTGTAGAACTGACCTCTCGTCAAAATCCGTGCTATTTACATCAGCCCCGTTTTCAACAAGGTATTTCACTATATCTGGCTTACCTTTAGTAACAGAAGTGTGCAGTACTGTCCTTCCGTCAGTATTTTTACCTTCTACATCAGCTCCCTTCTCAACAAGATATTTTATCATTTCTAGTGTACCTTCGCTAACAGCATAGTGCAATACTGTCCATCCATCAGTATACTTGCCATTTACATCGGCGCCATTTTCAACAAGATATTTTATGATTTCTAGCTTACCTTCAGTAACAGCATTGTGAAGCACTGTCCACCCGTTAGTATCCTTTCCATTTACATCAGCGCCATTTTCAACGAGACATTTTACCATTTCTAGCGTACCTTTACTAACTGCAAAATGCAGCACTGTTTCCCCATCAGAATCCTTTCCATTTACATTGGCGCCCTTTTGAACGAAATATTTCACAATTTCTAATGATCGAGACTGTATTGCACTCTGGAGAGCTCTGCAATCATCTTGAAAATTATGTTCAGGGCCATATTGCACAAAATACTTAACAAGATCGAGTAAACCATTTCTTGTCGCGTTACAAAGAACTGTTTCACCTTCTTCGTTCTGGGAATAAATGTCTGCTCCATGGTCAACTAAATATTTAACAATTTTTTGATCTGCTGGACTAAACTGAAAAGCACGCCAAAGAATTGTCTTCTTCCAACTATCTTCATTGTTTGCGCCACATTCAACTTGCTTTCTTATTTCGTCCCAAAATTTCTGTTTTCCTTCTTCACAGACGTTTTTACTTCCACTTGCCTCTTGCTTTTCATCACTTTCTATATATGGAGGTTTTAACATGATAAAATCATACAAATTTGGTAGCGTTTTTTACGATCTTCCAGGACATCATTTTCAATGCAAACTTAAAAATTATTTGACAAACACAGTCTAAATATGACTTTTTATTCAGTACTTTTCGTTTACTTTCATGGGTTTCTTATTTCCTCGACGGCCTTTAAGTTTCTATGCAAATATATATCTTCACGCAATTTTATCTATTTTGGAAAAATGAGTACAATAATTGTACTTTAGTATCATTAATAATATTAATAGAGCAAAAAAGAGCGCAATTAATGCCAAAATGATACCAGTGTTTAGAAATTCAACCGAGCACGTAGCGAGAGTTTATTTGCAAACCACGAGTATGATTTTTGCATGTATTATATATCTTCTGGTAAATGCTGCAATTCCTCTGGCTAAAGAGTGGGATCTGAGCATTAATAGGGGGTCTCAAGGCTTCCGACGCCATTGGCCAGGGGGTGCAAAAACATTGGAGCGAGCGCGCGGCCAGAGCGATTTCCCATACGAATCTATAATGAGTGAGCGAGATTTACATTTGCTCATTTCGCTCGATTTTTGCAAAACGATTAAGAAGTTAGCCAATTTAATAATTGCTGATCGATTATTGGGTTTTTGTTGATATGTGGCTGGAGCTTCATGTGAATCAGAGACCGGGAAGTGTTAAAATATCGCGATTTTGTCGAGGTGTTTTTGCGAGCTGTTTACGCCATTGGATCTTCACAGACAACCTCCCTTTACTTGATTTTTGTCGTGATAGGCGCTAAAAGGAAGACGGCATTTTCAGCACAACAAAAAAATGGGAAAATACATATGGAGATAATGTGTAACTTGTTAACCTGTGCCTGCTGTGCGGTTGACAATCACTGTTGTATTGCTTTTGAAATCTACTACGAGTGGTGTCACATATCACTTGATAGTGTCTGCTCATCGTGTATTCACTGCATCTAGAAAGCTCTTTTGTCTATTAAATTTTTCGAGCGTTGTCTTACTTGACTTCGGTGGAAAGAGTATATATAATCATTGCGATATGGCAAAAAAACAGTCTGAAGAATGTTTCTCATATGAGGATTTTCTAAGCTGGACGCTCTCCACGCTCAAAGTCTTTTTGGGTATTCGTGGCCTAAAGCAAACTGGTACGAAATCGGAACTTGTTGGACCAGAAACTGGTCCCTAACTGCTGCTAATCTTATTGTTGTTGTTGTTGCTGTTGCTGTTGTTGTTGTTGTTGTTGTTGTTGTTGTTGTTGTTGTTGTTGTTGTTGTTGTTGTTGTTGTTGTTGTTGTTGTTGTTGTTGTTGTTGTTGTTGTTGTTGTTGTTAGGGGGCGACGCTCTTTAAAATAACCCTAAAGCTCTAGCATTACTTGTTTGATCGGAATGAAACTTGGCACAATTATTCTAAGCAATATTCCGCATCGATTGACGGAGTTCGAATTTTTACTTTTGATCTTTGAAGCAAGTTACAAGCAATTCTTGATATATGTGCAGCAAATAATATATACATATCATTAATATTCAGCCTATATATACGTAAACGAAAACGATTGGAAATACATTGTCCTCTCCTTTGTTGAACTTACAATGCAGTTCAGAAATTAAACTCGGTTACGCAGTTCCTGGTCCACTATAGTACTATCGTACTTGTGGCTAGAGCATTTGGAGCATATGAACTAAACGCTTCCAAAAAGTTTACACAAGAGCAAATATCCGCAAGCATTAAGAAGGAATACGAGAAAAGGCTTCAATATCACAAAATCAAAACCGACCCAAACAGTTTGCCGGATAATGCCGGGAAGGACAGTGTAGCAGATTGGCCTCAGCTAGATGATGGTAAGTTATTTAGTTATATTTTAAAAGTTGAAGCAGTAGATGTTAATTATATCGGCAAATGCAAAGATTAAAGGCGTATTTTTTTTGGATAAAAATGTCCTACAGATGCCACCATGATTTTCTTAAAAGGCTATGTATGTCCCTCACAGAGGGTCAGAGATAACCCACACAAAGCATTGATCTGTGTCTGAGGTAAGAACTGATGAGCCTAATGTTTTAAAATCATTGTGCACTTGTATAGCTGGCACCGGGAAGGTTTGCAATCATGTAATAGCTATACTTTAAAAAAAACTTTGCTTTTCATATGGAAGTTTTTTATCTGCCCAGCTGTTACCTCTTTTCTTGTCCCGCTATTCCAGCCTTGTGGCATACTTGTGCATGCAGGATCTATAAACATTTTACGTATGAAAAGCAAAGTTTATTTTATAAAGTATAGCTATTACATGATTGCAAACCTCCCCGGTGCCAGCTATACAAGTGCACCATGATGTTAAAACTTTAGGCTTATCAGTTCTTACCTCGGACACAGATCCATGCTTTGTGTGGGTGATCTCTGACCCTCTGTGAGGGACATACATTGCCCTTAAAGAAAATCATGGTGGCATCTGTAGGACATTCTGTAACATGTACATTGTGTCCGCAAATTAACCCACTCATCCAATAAGAATCCGCCTTTTCATCTTTGTATTTGCCGATGTAATCAACATATACTGCTTTAACTTTTAAAATATAACTAAATAACTTACCAACATCTAGCTGAGGACAATCTGCTACACTGTCCTTTCTTCTTAATGCTTGCAGATATTTGCTCTTGTGTAAACTTTTTGGGAGCGTTTAGTTCATATGCTCCAAATGCCCTAGCCACAAGTACGATCGTACTATAGTGGACCAGGAACTGCGTAACCGAGTTTAATTTCTGAACTGCATTGTATTTATAACAAAGGAGAGGACAATGTATTTCTAATAGTTTTCGTTTACGTATATATAGGCTGAATATTAATTATATGTATATATTATTTGCTGCACATATATCAAGAATTGCTTGTAACTTTACTTAACCTTTTCCTTCTTAATGCTGGCGGATATTTCAGTGCTCTTGTGTAAACTTTTTGGGAGCGTTTAGTTCATATGCTCCAAATGCTCTAACCACAAGTTCTGATTTCGTACCAGTTTGCTTTAGGCCACGAATACCCAAAAAGACTTTGAGCGTGGAGAGCGTCCAGCTTAGAAAATCCTCATATGAGAGACTTTCTTCAGACTGTTTTGTTGCCATATCGCAATGATTTGTATATATACTCTTTCCACCGAAGTCAAGTAAGACAACGCTCAAAAAATTTAATAGATAAAAGAGCTTTCCAGACGCTATCAAGTGATATGTGACACCACTCGTAGTAGATTTCAAAAGCAATACAACAGTGATTGTCAACCGCACAGCTGGCACAGGTTAACAAGTTACACATTATCTCCATATGTGTTTTTCCGTTTTCTTGTTGTGCTGAAAATGTCTTCATTTCAGCGCTTATCACGACAAAAATCAAGTAAAGGGAGGTTGTCTGTGAAGATCCAATGGCGTAAACAGCTCGCAAAATCACCTCGACAAAATCGCGATATCTTAACACTTCCCATGAAGTTCCAGCCACATATCAACAAAAACCCAATAATCGATCAGCAATTATTAAATTGGCTTACTTTTTAATCGTTTTGCACAAATCGAGCGAAATGCGCAAATGTAAATTTCGCTCACTCATTGTAGATTTGTATGGGAAATCGCTCAGGTTGCGCGCTTGCACCAATGTTTTTGCACCCCCTGGTCCAGTGGCGTTGGAAACCTTGAGACCCCCTATTGCACTCTTCGATCCTCATAGCCAATGACCATTTAGGACACAAAATATAATTTCTCAATTATGCTAAATTTTAATACTTCCAAATTGCACTATTTACCAAGGATATATCATTCTGATAAAAATTAACAATCGACTTTTTTCATGATGATATCAAACGCCGAAAGTCTGATGTTACACGAAGTTTGATAGGCTGGATAGTTTTAAGGAGCAAATCAAGAATTTCCATCATTTTAAGGAAGGTCTATTATATTATTGAAGTTCAAGTGCCTATATACCATGGTTGCATATTTTAAGGTATTTCATATATCTTTGCAATACGTTATGTTATTAAAAAATTCTCTTGATCGATTTATTATAGCCTTTAAAGTTACCGGACATGACGTCAAATCGGGAATTAGATTCTGTTTTCGATTCTTTTGTTTCAGTTGCACGAAATTCCTGATTTGACGTCATTTCCGGCAACTTTAAACGCTAATATAAGTCCATCAAAGCAAACTTTTTCAATTAAAAAATGTATTGTAAAGCTTTTTAAAATACCTTAGACTTTTGATATATTCAAAATCCGCAACTATGCTATAGCCGTATAGGCACTTTCAATAAATTGTCTTTAGATTAGAGAAGATATATAATTTATATGTGATAAAAATAATTGGGTCGTGCGATTAAAATGATGGAAATAGAAAGAATGGGAGTGAAATAATGCTCAAGTCATACGAGCTAGC